AGGATGGTTTGCCTCCCATTCCTGCCCCAGGAGAGTAGATTAGGCACCTCCCACATACCAAGGTCTGTGTTTGGCTGCCTGTTCTAGGAGCTGTTCCACCTGGGCGCACCTATTGCAGGATGGTTTGCCTCCCATTCCTGCCCCAGGAGAGTAGATTAGGCACCTCCCACATACCAAGGTCTGTACGGTTCCTCTGCCGTCTGAAGTTCTGTCTGCGTGGAGGCATCGGCCATCGCAGGGGAAGATGGTGCAGACCCCTCAGCCAGAGCTGCAGCCTTAGCTCTGAGACGAGTGCCCACCATTCTGTTCGGAGGGTCAGGTAGCATGTCCCATACCTTTCCTGGTCTTTAGTTCTTCCCTCCTTCTCAGAGGAACCCTGCCTGCTCGCTCTGCTCCTAAGGCCGCCTTATGAGGCTCCTGGACCTGGCAGAACTTCAGCGTCCCACTACACGAGCTGCCCCCTTTGCTGTTGCAGCATGCTGCGGGTGGTGCCCCCACGCTGCCTGTGCTGCCTGCTCTCTGTGAGAGAGCTAGCTCTCCGCCCTCCCGATACGAATTTAAGGACTGGGAGGGGGGTGTGGTCACCGTTGCCCCCCAGCAAATCCCACGCCACGTCAGCCTCTCGCGGGAGAGCTGGAGGCGGGATTCAGGTTACGCCACTGTCTCGGGGTTTTCCTGTTGAAGAAATCTCCCGAAAAACCCCCTGTGCCTTACGATCAGTCAGTCTGTCGGACCTGGGTCGGCTCCTAAGCAGATTATCTTGGTGACTTCCCTTAGGTAAAATAGCTTTATACAGTAGCATTTCAGTGGAACAACTCTAAATATGTACAACAAAGCAAGATTATGAAAGCATCTTCAGTGGGACTTCAAAAGTTGCAGATGACTGATGGTGCTATCATCCAGTCTTAACAGAACTCTTGGTTTGACGCGCTTAACCAGGTAGACAAGAGTTCTAAAATAAGAGTCAGAGAAGCTATGTGTCTTTCTCTAACTTTGTCAACACAAGATATTCCACATGCAAAAAACAGTAGTTGAGTACAATACTGGATTAAACTGGTCAGTTGCAATCATTCAATTTTTCCACTTCTGATTTTTTGCAAGTTTCACAGTATTGTCCTCCTTTCTGGTTATTTTTTAAAGAGGAAACTCCTAGGAATTCCTTAGTAATACAGCAAAAATAGCAGCAATAAAAATAAAAGGAAATTAAATCGGTAGGCTTCCTGGCAATACCAACTTAAAGATTCAAGCAAAAAAAGACCTTATATAGAATTTAAAAAAAAAAAACAAAAACAAAACCCAAAAAAACCAACCAAAACATGATTTCAATGTGAGGAACAGCTAGATGAGAGTTTTCCTTTTCCCCCCAGCACTTAAAATAGGACATCTGCATATTTTACCCAAAGGTATGTGCCTCCTCTGTTTTGTTGAGGGTCCTGCACCATTCTCATCCCTGTTGTGCTCTGATGCCTTCTAATACTCTGTCAAACAAAATTATTAACATCAGTCATTTTACTTATCCTCCCATACTGTTCTCAAAAAAAAGTTGCATATACAGTATAGCATTTTATTTTGTTAGGGTTTTGAGATCCTGGGACAAGAAAGAGAAGATGTGAGAGACTTGATTTCACTGATTGTTTCCTTTTTATTCTTTGTATGTGTTACAAATTAGACAAAATTGGGCAAAAAGAGAAAAAGAGTACAAAGAGCTTTGAGTTGGAGACTGTAACATAGAAAACATGAAATCTGAATTGCAGAAGACTAGGTGATGTAGTTTTATCCTGGCTGGCAGCAAAACACCACAACACTGCTTGCCCAACCTCCCCCCTCCTGGGGATTTGGGAGAGAATTAAAGGGGTAAAGGGAAAAGAGACTCATAGGTTGTGAAAAGAACAATTTAATAACTAAACTACAATGATGTTGAAAATAAGAATGATAATAATAATAGTAATATATAAACAAATGAGTGATACACAGTGATATTGATCACCACACAATGACCAAGGCTCAGCCCATTCCTGGCCAATGATCCCAGAGCAGGGAGAGTCCCGAAACCACAGTCCCGGAAGGGAGATAAGAGCCTGAGCATCCAAGAGATTGAGAGAACCCTGTGAGAGGGGTGACCCAGAGGGACACTACCTGGAGCAAGAGAGAGAACTTCCAGACAGAACCCCATCTATATAGTGGGCATAACGTGCATGGAATAGACCAATGGCTGATTTGGGTCTCAATCCTAAACCTAAGGTCGAAACCTAGGCTAGTAATTGGGGCTGTGCTCCCTCCCAGCTTCTCCTGCACCTGCAGACACTGGCACAGCAGAGAAGCTGAAAAGTCCTTGACTGTCCTGGCAGCAGCTATAAACATCAGTATGTTGTCAGCCACCTTCTCAGCACAAATCCAAAACACAGCCTCACACTAGCTACTAGTAGCTAGTGTGAGGCTGTGTTTTGGATAAGTTAGTTAACTCTAATTTTCAGTTGGCTTGAGAAGAAGCCCAGTGGCTGCCAATTATATTATCAATAGCTCACTAATGACGGTAGCATATATCAGGAGGAAAATCTGTTTTTATATATTGTGTTTTCCTTTGTGTAACAACCTAACATAAAAAGCAGCTTAGCAGCATAAAGCATCCAGTGTAAACCTGTGTCTGTGGCACATGTAGTGAATGCTACTTCATTCTTTAAATGGAATCACAGTCCTTAACACAGTTTTGTTTCACAGTACAGCTGTTTTTTTAAAAAAAATAAACAAACTAAGACAACCAAAACCCCACACCTGCAATCCTAAGAGCATACTCAAACTTAGTCATGTCTGCCTGACTGATTTGCATGTTTTTGTAGCTGTTAGCAAAGCAGCACCCACATGGGAGTGGAAGCACAAGCTGGATTCTAGCACAGTTCACTAACAGGATCATTATCCAGTTTAAAAGTGCAGGGGCAAAGTTTGCCCTTAATTATACCTCTGTAACTCCAGTGCGCATAACAGTTTGCAAAGGGATTTCATTTGGAGACAGAAGAATGGCTGTCACAGGAATTTCGTGTCATACTAATTGTAAAATCTTTATAACTGAGTACTCCAGGGAAATAACCTTGCATGATTATTAGGCTCTTGGCTACGTCAGCAAGACTGTCAGGCACAAATGTCTTCAGGCAAGCTTTGTGAAGCACTCCAACCCACAAAAAGATTATTATCTTGCTTCCACTGTCTGTCTAACCACTATCAACTGTCAATACAATAAGTTCTAGAATAAAATTGAATTGTTTTCTAGCTTTTATGAACATTTGATTAAAAGATACAGAACTTTGCCAATACCAGTTTGTTCTCTTTTATAAACATGATGTAAAATCTTCTAAGTTAATCTATCAGGTACAAAAGTTTCAACATTGACAGCCTTTGAATCGAGCTCGTCTATAGTTTGTAGAACCCCTTATTACTATACATTCTCAGAAGTTCTTACTGACATAATTTCCACAGCTGAGCCCATCGCAGTGCAAAAGTCCTCCTGTCTACCTGTTTTTTCCCAGTTCCCAAGCTGAGAAATAAAGATGATGGCCAAGGTTCTGTGTCCATTCTGCTGGTTTTGCCTCAAACAATATCCATAGTGCTGACAGCCTCCTGTAATAGCTATGGCATTGCTTTTTTCTGTGTTCCCTTGCCATATGAATAATTTGTTTATTATCCTTTGGTTTTTTCCTGTGCAAATGAGGTTATAGTCATTACGTCATTATTTCTTCAGTTATATGTAGTTCTTCTGTAGTCAGTCTGATGATATGCTGTCCTATGGAAGACCCCAAAATAATCAAATAGATGATGAAATAAAATAACCTTCATTCTCCCCACCCAGTACTGTTTGCATTTTCAATAAAAATTAACAGAACAAGTAAGGCATTATATGAATGCTCTAGGCACAAGTTGTTACTGCTGTTAATACACCTTCTGAAAGAGACATCAACATGTGGTTAAAGTATGCTTGCTAAGATCCCTTTTGACCTCAAAGATCAGCAAGTTACATTTGCGTCAGAAAGATCTTTTGATTTTTCTTCCTTAGTTTTTGAAACTTTAGTTTTTTCTACAAAGTCATGCTTCTCTGAGGTTAAATATCTTCAGGGTATTTTTACTTCCCTATACAAGTGAATCTGGCCAGTCTTTGATAATCTGACTCAATAAACATAAAAATATAAATGGATCACAAATGTATAATAAAGAGATAGCAGTGAATTATTAGTTAGTGTGGTTATAGACAGCCAAGTTTTACAGTCACAGTGCTCATTCTACCCTGGTTACTGAATTGTATGTGTCCAGATAGAACTGCAGATCTTTTAAACAATTAAAAAATATGTCATTACCAGTTTGATACAGTAGTGTTGCCAGAAGTTAGGCTGACCTCCGTAACACCTGTCTCAGCACTTTCCTCACCTTCATAAGCAAAAACTGCCCTCGGTTTCTGGCAATGACAGATAGAGGCAGAGCAGTTGGAACAGCGCAGACTTCAGAAAAGCTTTAGTCAAAAAAATAAACCTGTTAATAAAGGTGAGCCCTCCAGGAATGAGCCTTACCTGTCTGTATGTGCCTTTGAGCAACCTGGGGTATCAGCCCTGAGCAGCTCCCTTCCCATGGCTTTTAGTTTCAAAGCCAAAATATTACAGATCTGAAGAAAGTGAAGCTATTATTTAAATGAATATGGAAATAAATTGTAACATACTTTCATAAACCAAAGAAGACTTGATTCATCACCAACATCAGGGAATCAGAAAAGTTCAAGTGTCTTTTCCTAGAAAAATCCCAGTAATCCAGATTTTTGCAAAGAAGCAGAAGCAAATGTGTTGGTCTGCCACAGACACTTTTTTAGAACTGCAACTGGTGGTTAGGTATTTAGAAACATCTTGAACAGGGAAAAACTTCCAGCACAGAAATAAGAGACAATAAATAATTGTCACTACAAAAATAAGAGGTTTCTTCTAAGACTGTTTCTTAGTGTTTTGTTTTTATGGTTCTTTTTGCAGGTGTTGCTGCTTTGGATTCCAGCATTTCTGGGAAGATTGGTTTGCGAGCAGTCATATATTATTTCTGCACTACAGTCATAGCTGTAATACTAGGTACTCTGTGATACTGTATCTTTTAAAATCCTCAGCATCACCTAATTATGAGTATACAGCACTGTGACATTACTGTATTCCCAAGACAGGATGGGGAGAAGAGACAGGAATCATATCAAACATCTTGACATACCTGTAGCCTGATACAGGGACAAGTTAGTCCTGCTGTTCACAGTTGGACTGTATTCGTATCCAACATGAGGCCACAGGCAATTTTACCATACATTTCAGCTCAGGGAAGATGAGGAGCTATCTGCTTAGGTAAACAGTGACCAGCAGTGGGAAAGCTCAATGAACATCAAAGTCCAGCCTTAACTACTGTCCCGTCCCACTTGGTGGGTGAGGGCAAGGTTTACTTTTGGATCTCTGTGTGGTAAACCAGAACACCTGGAACAACACTTTGAGAGCTTCAGTTAGACAACTATTTTATTTAAAAAGATGTAAACAATATAGCAGAATTTCAAAAGATAAATGACATGGCAAAAAAACCTTTACAACAGCACTACCTCGTACTGACAACACTAAAACTTCCAATGTTGTGACAACCACTAACACTGTAATGATATCACAATTACCTGCAATGCCAAAACTACAACAATATGACAACCACCAACCACTATACAATAAATTTTATTTTTATATATTTTTAAACTATACAATCACTTGTTATCACTAGAAAGAAAAGCTCATAATTACTTATTGACACTGAAAAAAAGCTTGTAAGACTGTTACCCTTATGTGCCAGGAAGATAGAGACAGAGACAGATAGATGCTTGAAGAGAAAAGGGAAAGGAGAGAAGAGAGAAAGAAAAGTTTTCAGAACAATAACACCACCCTTGGATCAATGTGTTGGAGGTCCTCCAATGGTGGATGTGCACCTTCCCATTGTTTTTTATAGACAAAAGTTTTCAGGTCTCTTGCCTAACTTTCTTCAATTAGCATAAGAAGCTGCAGAGGTATCTCCTTCATTTGTGTAGGAAGAGGAGAGGTGTGTCTCCCTGATTTGCAAGGGAAGAACCCTCTTTTTGAACATGTGTAAGAGGGGACAGGGCACTGTTAACCCTTTCAACCAACTGGGTCAGTGGTTTTGCAGACCTTATACACTAGGTTAACTTTGGCTAAACTTATTGTCGGTGCCTCAGAGGTGAGGGCGTGATCTTGTTAGCAAGGGTGTGGGGCAAGGTTTGCTACTTGGTTGTAAGGGAGACAACCTTGTTAACAAGGGGGTAAGGCCATAAGTCCTTCCATACATTCCATACTTCCTCTTATGAGTGGGGAGTAGGACTAGGGGTACAACTGCAGTCTTCTACAACCGAGATGTTTGAGGTAAACCATTTGTTCACAAGGCCTTCGGCAGACATTCACCTTTCGTCCCTCACTGGGGCCTTTGGTAGGCAGTTGCAGACTTTCGTAACAGACCATTTTCTCTTTTAATCCCTTACAACTACAAAGTGAATTTCCTCAATAGCAAGAGGATAGATTGCCGCTGATTCTCAGAAGCAAGAATGTTTAATGTGTCTCACCTGAAAGAATGCAGAAAATATTGTTTTCCTTGTAATCTCATTTCCTGCCTAAAAGGTTTTTGTCCCCTCTGTCACTGCCAGCCTTCACTCCTACCTCTCTGAAATCCACATCTCCTCTTGCAGGAAGTTAATTCCCTACAAGCAGCCATGGAATCTTCCATATTTGATTAACCAAACATCTTCAGCCTGCCTTCTTAAATAAGAAATAAAATTAAACACTCTTCTGTCAGCTGTCATGTAGTTTGTGTTTTATATTTTTATTTTGTTGAGCCTGAGTGAATACTCTGCCTAGATATTGCCTGCTAAAAAGAAACGTATTTATTTGAAGGACAAAATGCACATCATATGTTGCCTACTTGTAAAGCAAAGCAGTATTTAACAACAGAAAAAGAATCACATACAGACATATAAAGCCAGATTAATTTTGAGAGGTTGCATCATTGAGAATAAAATATCACTGCGTTTACACCATTCAGGCCATCTTATCTGTCTGGGAATTTTCTGCAAATACATAATGAGGAAAATTAATAAAGACTAACATTAATATGTATCTAACTTTGAAATTGTCGCTACCCTGAGAGAAGGGTTAAACCAAACAATCTCCAGAGGTCCCTGCTGTTCTATAATACTATGATATTACTTGTTTCATTGCTCGGAGTTACACAAATTCAGTTCTGCTTTTATTCCTGGCTGGTTAAAGGGTCGTGCAAATGCCTCTTTCTCCCTACACTGAGATTTAGTAGTTTAATTTGCTTTAGGTTTGTTTGGATCTGGGGGAGGAAGATAAAAAAGAAAAAATAATGTACATTTGGAAAGGCCTAATATTTTCCTATATAAATAAAAATACCTAAAATGAAGCCACTAAAGTAAATAAAAAATTCATTGTTGATTACAGTATTCACAAGGTCAAAGCTCGTATTTCTTGCCCGTGATTTTTTTTTTCAGTTTGTTTCAGAAACCCATCTCTTATGTAACTTTATTGCTAAATAATTTTACCAAAACGTCCTGTTGTACTTTGAGGTCACAGGACAATGCACTTGTATTCATATCTGAAAGCTAGTAGCAAGAAGAGCTGCATAAGACAAAAGGTAGAAAGCAATTCAAAACATCACCATGCAAAAGTTGCAGAACACCAGCTGAAGCCTAGCTGAAGTAATTTACCTTCTTGGTGAGCAGTAGTGATTTAGTACCATACATGCAAGAACGAAGTTAGTGCCCAAGTCCAGTGGCAAAGCCTCAAGTAGTTCCTGTGCTGGGGAAACCCACACATTTAAGGATACCACCTGTAGACTTCTTTTTTGTGAACAGCACTGTATGAGCACACAGGGAGAGCATTTGGCTAAGTTTAGTTCATGAAGAGTTTAGCTTCATGGGATACACTGAGGCAGGATGCACCAATGCCTCTGCCTGCACTGTGAGCTCTTCTGGTTCTCCTTCTGCAGGGATTGTCTTAGTTGTGACCATTAAACCTGGTGTGACTCAAAAGGCAAATGAGATTGACAGAGTCGGCAGTACCCCAGAAGTCAATACTGTTGATGCCATGCTGGATCTGATCAGGTGAGGTTTTCTTTTTTAGTTTCCATACCACTGTTGTGCAGTCCAAACAAATAGAAAAAAAAGTTGTGTGATGTGTAATACAATAAAAATTTCTAATGTTGTTTGGATGAATAAGGAGACGATAACTTGTATTCCAACAGGTTAGACATTTTAGAGTACATTCAGAGCAGTTTGTTAAAAATATTTCTCTTTACACCATAGACTAATAAACCCAACAAAACCAAAATTACCCTCCTTCGCAGAAACTGGTACGCAAGATTTACCTAGTATGAAGAAAATAGCCAGAAGGGATTGAAAGGTTGATGGGTTACTGACTAACAGCTTCTGTAAGGGCCAGGATAGGCAGCCACCTGAAATTGCAGAGTTATGTTTCCCCTCCTCAAGGCAGGAATCAGAGTAACAGACACAGTAAGCAAATGTTTCTTAGGGTTACACAGTCATCAAGTTTGCTGTATCACCAATATCTAAAGCAACCTTATAGTCAGTTTTTCCCCATCAGCATCATGGAAAACAATAGATACTTAAAGTGGTTAGAAGAAGGAAACCCTTAGAAAAGTCTGCAGAAGACTTGAGCAGGTTTTCAGAGCTAACGTGTTTAAGGAGTTAGAAAAAATTCACAAAAAAGGGCTACGTAGTTCCCTCAAAACCATTTCCGTGGATAATTTTTTCTCCATCTACAATGTCTTTGTTCTGTATCACTATTCCTGCCCACTATTTTCTTATGGTAGAATTTTTACTTAGTCCATCATGTAAGAATCAACTGCCACGTATTTAAAATCGGCTTTATCAGAATTTTTTATTTCAGGAAGTGTGACTCGCATTTGCAGATGCAGGTCCAGATAGACAGATCTCAGTATGCTGTAATGTTGAAATGCATCTACTCTTTTAACAGGAATATGTTCCCAGAAAACCTTGTGCAGGCTTGTTTTCAGCAGGTAAGTTTGAACATTCCTCTTTGCTACTGTAGTTTTCATTGCTAATTACAAATTATCTTCTTTTATGTCCCCAAAAACTGTATCAGGTAAGAATTATTTGTGAGAAGTCCAGAAGTATCTCAATCTCCCATATAAAGACTTTTTTAAAAAGTGTCTTGGTGTCCTTTCCATTATGATGAACATTTTATCAACTATTAAGTCCTTGATCATCCCTTGCAAAAAGACATGGTTTAGGAGCTGGGTGCAGAAACCAAGCAGTGTACAAGACAAGATTTTTCCTTTTGGGACAGACAGAGCTAGAAGAACTATGTCATGACAATCTATTTCCCTGTTCTTAAGAAACCTCAGTGTCTGATGAAATCTGCATAACTTTGCCCTCACCCCAATGTGTCTCACATCTAATGTCCATTGCCAAACCTGATGATCCATCTTAAGGAAAAGGCAGCCAATTGGAAGCATCTATTTGAGACATTTTTCAGAAAAAGTGAGATTTGCAAGATGAAAGAGAGAACTGCTGTCTGTATATCAGATTTACTTCAGATTCAGTCATCTTTACCTGTAAATATATCAACTGTTTTTTGTGATGCTCTCTGCTTCCCTTTTTTGTCTTCCCCAGCAGTTGCCTGCCAGTCTGTCTGAGGTTTGTATGTGAGGTAGTTAACCTTCCCCAGGAAATGATGTTAAGTATCCTGCTGTGCACAGCACTGAATGCATTTCCAGTGTATAAAACTTCTTTATGTAGTTTTGCTCATATGTTCATTAGTGTCACCCTACACTAAGGTGGATCTAGAGACCCTTGGCAGAATTATGACGGCACTAAATCATAGTTACAATTAAAGCTTTATTCTCTTAACAGGCTATTATGATTTATATAGCACAGAATTTATGATCAGAATAGCACAGGATTTCTATAAGCAGAATCGGTATAGTACTGATTTTATAACAGCACTGCTTAGTTTATGGTTTCTAGCCACCTGGACCCTCTGCAGATTGAGTCGAATTTTAATCCTTGGTTTGCTATATCAACATAACAATCATAATCTGGACGCAAAAATCATATAAAAGAATACAAGTCACTCAGTCCTTGGAGGAAGCAGATGGTGGTGGCGGTGTCCCTGACCACCGAGGGGTTGCAGGTCTCACTGCCCAGCAGCACTTCTAGTACACATTCCCCGTTAGAGGGAAACTGCTTGGTTCTATGGACAGTGCCCTGGGTGCTGTTACATGTACCTGTTCTGTGTCAGGGTCATCAGCACCACTGGCTGGCCAAGTGCCTGGGACCTTCAAAGGTGGTAAGGAGGGGCATAGTCAGCCTGGCATCCCGGAATCTTGAGGCCAGTAGGGAGGGGAGGAAGAAATCTGTTTGGTTTGTCTATGTGCACAGGACCTTCAGGCCCTGATAATGCAGGGAAAAATGACTAATAAGTGACCAGCTTGGTCGCAGAGAATGGCTGTTTGCTTTATATAATGACATTAGTTATGCTAACCACATCACCAGGGGTCTGGTTGTATCAGGTGTATCTGCTCTAAACGACCTATCGTGGGGTGGCTGTCAGCAGTACTCTCCAGACTGTTTGTCCCAACAAAAAGTCCCTTTGCCATTGTGAGGAACTGTATCCCAACCCCCATAAGACTGCACCAGGTCCACAGGGCACTTGAGAGCCTAGGGAGCAGAATTCATAGCATATTATCTGTGAATCACTTGTTTGATCTACACCATCAGTACAGTACAGTACAGTACAGAACTGTAAGGGCTCACATGAACTGGGAAATAACGTGTTTGTCTGTGCTTGCTACCTCCAAGTCACATTGGTTAATTTTTCCCTTATTTTTATTAGGCAAAGGCTATGCCTTTGTCCGTTCTTCAGTTTCCTCATGTTTCTAAATAACCACTTCTATTTTTTGAAAAACTTTTCCAGTATAAAACCAAACGTGAAAAAGTTGAGGCAACAACTGGTGTGGATAAAAATAGCTCTGCATTTGCAGAAGAACCTGTTCCAACTGCTGCAACAGCAAAGGATTCAGAGGTGTGACCTTTATTGTCATATTCCTTCACAACATATGAAGTGGGGAGAAAGAACATAGATTAAATTTGGTTTAGCTGATGTGGTTAGTGATTGAGAAAAGGAAAGAAATGGTACATAGGTAGGTTTTAGCAAGGGCACAAAACTTAGTAAGTAAATGCTAGATGTGATTATGAGGATCTTCCAGTAGGTTTAAGAACACCAGAGGACTCCATTGGTAATTAAGCAGTGCAAAGATAATAGATGATGTGAGAAAATGATCCATTCATACACTCCATTAAATGTATGTGCTAATGAATTGTCAATTTGCTGAGAAATTGAAGAAAACAGTCTCTGTAGAAAGGCTAGATGTATATCAGCATGAGATGTTTGAGCAGCAATGAGTTGACTCTAAGCACTGCAGAAAGGAATGGAAAATCATAATAATTTTTTTCTGAGTAAAGAAGAGGTTTAACAAACTTCTGATTAGAGGTGTAGAAAGCTTATGGATGTTGATGGTTTATAAAGCCTAGAATTGCACTGAAGGAGAGGGAGAAAGGAACTCAGTAGAATACGAACACAGAACTATGAACAGTAGTATCAAATCAGTATGCATTTTATTACACTCCTTCCAAATTTCATCTCATAGTAATGAGAGCATGGGAACATAAGCTATATGAAAAGACATGAATTAAATCCTGAAACAGGATGTAGTGAAGACTTGCACCCTTTCCTTCATATGTTCATGCTGCACAAACACAGAGGAATGTGTGAATACCTACCTATTTAGTAGGATTTTTATGGTATCTGCATCCAATTCTGCTATAAATTACGCAATTTCACTGATTTCCGCTGAGCAATAGATTTTAAACTTGGGACAAAATTGGACACTATTGTCACTGTTCTTACACAACGTACTATTTATCTTAAATCCAGACACAAAGCCTTGAGTTGCTCAGAAATGACCACAGGAATTCTACATCAGCTGTGTTTTGTCCTCCACAGTAGGGAGTAAGCCTTGAGTATATTGAAGGCGTGACTGCAGATACCTAGACCTTGCCATACTTTGTGTCAGAAGTCTATAGAAAGGGCAACATAAATTAAGGGGTCCTTTATCCCCTGCTAATGTTTGGTCAGATCTTTGCATAGCTTTAAAATACAAAGCTTTCAAAGACAATTTAGTGCTACCTTCATTCTTGAACTTGCCCACTTGGTACCACCAGGAAGGGAATAGAGTGACTGGAGAAGAGATCTGTGGCTTTTCAAAGAAAGATCTAAATGTGTTTTCGTTTTAGAACTCTTTAAAGTAAATTCAGTGTTTTCAGACAGTAACTTTTTTTTTCTGTTGAATCTAATCTATAGAACAAAACCCAAGAATACAAAATCGTGGGCGTGTATTCTGACGGCATCAATGTGCTGGGGTTGATCGTCTTCTGTCTTGTTTTTGGAATGGTTATTGGGAAAATGGGAGAGAAAGGACAAGTGCTGGTGGATTTTTTCAATGCACTGAATGAAGCTACAATGAGAATAGTTCAGATAATGATGTGGTAAGTCCAAAGACTGGCATTTTCTAACAGCTTCTGTAAGTGTGTTTTGTCATTGAAGAGGTAGGAGCAGACTCATACTTCATATTTGCTTTTGTATAGTGCTCTACAGCAAACAACTTTAAAAGAAAGGCTGGTAAAAAGTTTCCTTTCTACAGAATTTGATCCTTTCAAAGAAACTGGAGACAGGGCTTCCACTTACTGTATATTAGAGAAACAGTCCTATTGGTACATAGGAAACCTGAGTTTTTCAGACATTCTTGGTAGAGGTTTATATCAAACTAGTACAACTGCACTAGTGATTTCAGGGCTGTAGAAGCATTACTACTCACGTGCCCTTCTCAGTCTTGTACACCATTCCCTGATAATCATTATGTTCACAGGATAGCTGTCCTTGGAGTTAAGTTCCTTTAGAAATAAAAGTTAATATAGAAGCCACAGCACAGAGCAAAATCCAAAATGGTATGCAACATACAACTTTGCATCATTTACCTTCTACTAACAGGTTTTGTGAGACAGTATTCTCACAATGTTCTCTCATAATACTCTCAGACAGGACAATTAAAAAATGTAGCAACTCATCCGATAGTGTTTGGTTGGACTTCACCGCTATTCACAGAGCTTTTCTCCATACAGATTACAATTACAGGATCAGGACTATAAGAACACACAATTCTTTACAGAGCTTGATCCTACATGTGGATTGCCTTGTACTCTTTGCTACATTACTCTGCTCATATCCACATGTTTCACACAAACAGTAGCTTATCAGATCTGGCCTTTCCATGAACTGATGGCTGCAAAACAGTAAACCTGTCCAGGGTTTATTTGCACACTTCTTGCTCCTTTTAAAGAAAGGTAAATTAGTTTCTGCAGCTTGTGCTAGGCAGCTGCTTCAGTCCCCAGCTGAGTTACAGTCCCATGAAACAGGCTGCTTCACATTACAACAAATTACCACTAACGAGAACCCGAGAGTTAGCACATGCCACAGATACAGGATCCTAGCCATAAGCTGACTGTCCATTGTCTTGCATGTGCCTAAAGCTGTGGCTGCAGGCTCCCTGTGTTACTATGGATGTGAAAGCTGTTGCCTTGAATAAAGTTTGATGCTGGCAGTGTGAGGAATTAGTTCTGCTTTCACCAAGGTCAGGGCTCAGACAGAACTAGGAGTCCCTGCTTTGCACAGGGACAAAGCACTAGTTTATTTGTGAGATAGCACACACACATTTTATAAATTTATAATTTATATTTTTAAATTGATACATTTTACATATTCACAAATTTATAAACCAGTTTATAGTACTCAAAGCTCCAAAGTGGCCACTTGTCTCTGTGACAGACTGCTGTCTGGTACCAGAAGGAAGTGCAGCTGGTGCTAGCACAAGACCTGATTTTTTCTTAAATTTTCTGTAGGCAGTAGCCCATGCAGCTATTCACATCTGTGAGGCATGGCCTTGTGTAAGTTTACTGGCAGATGGGGACCCCTCCATCAAGCAACACATTGATGACTGTACTGTCATCCCAACATACTAAACTCACTCTTACTCTGTGCAGCTGACCCACATATAGCCCCCAGTGCTGCAAGGCAGCTGCTGTAGGCACAGGAGACCTTTCCCATCTGTGCGTGACTGCAGAATGCACAGATTGGTCTCAGCCCTGCAGACTTGCACCTCCACATAAGCTTATGACTATGCATAAACATTTGCTGCAGTAGGGCAAAGCCCACACCCCTTCCCAGCTTCTGTGTATTCTGTGATACAAGGTCATACAGTACTTGTTAGACTATGCATAAGGTTTTATTTACTCTGATTTTCTAATCTTTTTTCATCAACTCTATTGAAGTCTTGCTGCAAGTGAATGAAGTCAGTTGTATAACAGAATATAAAAAAAATCTTCAGTTGGGTAAGAGAATATAAAAAAAAAATCTTCCTTCTGTTGTAAAAAGTTACACTGTGCGAGAAATTATTCTGGGGTAATCATGCGATACTTCTGAGAATGCATTTTAATGGCTTTATTTTTGCTTTCTAGGTATATGCCAATTGGTATTGTGTTTTTAATTGCTGGGAAGATAACAGAAGTTGAGGACTGGGAAATCTTTCGTAAGCTGGGTCTTTATATGGCTACAGTACTAAGTGGGTATGTCATTTCTCAAAGATGAAATTAGATGTGTGCAGTTTTTAGAGCTCAGTGGATTACAACTCAATTATCCACAACACCCAGCCTCTTCTAGGTCAGAGACAAAAATTCTTGTCAGTGAAAATTGTGTGAGGATATTTTGAATGCATGTTTTGCTGAAGGCACATTTTGTTTTAAAAAGTCACTGCCTTGCATTCTAAAAAGAAAAAGCAAAGGCTGTTCTTGTATTCATTGTTTCATCTTCTCAGTTTGGTGCTGAAACAGATAATATTGTATTTTTGAGAGTAGTAATGCTTCTTTCAAGGCAAAAGTAGCTGGTGAAGCTGCAAAAGCAGCAGCTGCTATGTGAATAACTTAGCCAAGCATCAAAACATTTTTTCTCTTCTTTTTCTAGACCCTTGTCTGTGTAGAACAGTCTGGGGTGGAACAGGTTATGCAATGCACAATGTGGAACCTTGCAGATGTGGAGCCTTAGAACAGGCAACTTAACCGCTTCAAGTGACATAGGCTACAACAGTAGATCATTATATATCTCTGAAAACTATCCTACAAAGAACCCTTTTGATAGATAAATGTCTGTTACAGTCCAAATAACTTAAATGTATTTAAATTTCTATTTCCAATTCAGTGAAGCATAACATCTACGCTGTCTTGGTTCATTGCCTTAGCATCTGCTCCTATAATTCCTTCAGTATACTAAGGATTTATTCATGTTTTTTCTAGAGGCTAGATTCAAAGTTGTTCAAGAGCTTCTTTCCCCCCACCTTATTCATATATATGCTATTCTTCAAACATCATTCACATGCTTTCTGACAACCAAGCAGAGAGAAAGGTAATACATTAGTGTTAAATGCTGACTTCTCTATAAATAGTCATGAATAATCTCCTTTTTTTTTTTTTTTTGCATTAGTCTTTGCTAGATAATCATATTTATTTCAAAGTTGTTGTTTTGTTTCATGCATAAGCCAGTATGTTTGGACTAGCTGTTCAAAAATCTTTTGACATATAATGACTTTCTAAGTAAAAAATGCAGCTCCAGAAATAGCACTAAATCACAACTTTTCCAAAATGTTACAGAAATGAGTGAAAGTTATGTTTGTCTAACGCATAATGGAGTTTTTTGTTACTTTCCATTTAAACTTGGAAAATAAATCAGATTTTTAAAGGATGCAAAAGTTGATGTTTACCAAGAGACTGTAAATCAAGAGATTAATATTTTCTACATAAATTACAAATGAGACCATGACTACAAGTTAGGTAAAAGTCATTTATGCTTATAGTCCTTTATAACTCCAATTAACTTAGAGGAGGAATATGTTGGATGGATTATTACTGCCCTTTGACTTCATTTTTAGGTTAGATAGTAAGCTTTACAGTTTTAGCTCTGACAGCAAGTTTTATGACTCTTTGCCTGTTAATGGTTACTATTTGTACTGTGACAGGGTGTATCATCCTTAAGATGTGTGTGAAGACACAGTGCCTTCTCCAGAACGACCACCACATATAGTCTCCCATTTAGCTGGTAACCATGTCCTCGAAAGGCACAACAATTTTAAGTACATTCCCAGGTGCCATCAAAAATATTGTATATAGTAAGGGTGCCCACCTCTGCATCCTTGGAGAGAAAAAAGTCTCTGTTCTGTCAAACTCTGTTGCACATGCCATGATTTTCCCTGATGGGTGGCAGGGTAGATCTCTGCAACACCTCTGCCTCTTGCAGAATGGCCTACAGTGGAGGGTTCTCAAGGTGTTATGGAGAAGGGCTAACAGCAGCATATCCTCTGCCAAACTGACCATCAGGGAGGGCATACTGTAAACAGGTCACAGGCGCGAAGATGACAATGTACACACAAGACTATGGTCTGCAAGGAAAAGGTGCTTGTTCTACATTTTCCAGCCTGCGAGAATATCCTTTTTCCCACCTCTTGGAAAATGGGAGAAATTGTGCTTTTTCTTTGTTTTGTTCTTAAACACTGCTGTTCCCACCATCTATTTTCATTCCTATTTACTTGACCTTGTGTGTTTGCAGTGTGTTCCATTCATCAGCATCCTTTCTGGTTGTCTCTTTATCATCCTCCCTTTACTCTTGATCCTGAGAATTACAGCTTATATTAAACACACTTCTTGTATTGCCTATCAAGAAAAATGTACAAGAGTATGAGGGCTGGTGTGTCTTATCCTCCTCTTCCTTTCCTTTAACTTCCCTCTCCAGCTCATCTTCTATCTCACCTTCTTCTCAGCTTTATTATTCATGACCTTGCACAGTCTCAGCCCTACCAGCTCTCATCCACCATTGTCGGCAACACGTCTCAGTCTTTACGTCTCATTCAGGTCCCCACAAGGGAACATACTTGCCCCAGTGCCTCTGCTCCAGTTGTCCGCTAAATATCTTCAACCTCTCACGTTTAATGGTGGCAGTGTCAGGATGACAAAATTACAGCAGTCACAGAGGAGGAAAATCAAAGTAGGAGGCATAATACAAGTGCCAGAGAACTCAGAGCCTGAGGTGGAAAAAAAAAAAAAAAGGAAGCTGCACCAAGCAGACTGTCTCTTGCCTGTACCTTGCCTCATCTGAAAGAGCAAGGTACCTGCATCTCTAGATGCTATAAGGCATGCCAGTTTGGAATTCAGAGGGACAAGATTCTTCCTATCTTAAAACTGGACGCTATTAGAATTTCTTTTTTCAGTTGCTGATTATGATTTTTCGTATAAAATTTCTCCTGCTTACAGTGAATTGCATTTCATGCATGAAAAGAAGTATTAGTTAGAATTTGCTTAATGAAAATCAGTAGTAGCAAAGCAGATGTGCACAAATACTTTATTTTGGGTAATGCCATGTTCATGCAGCCCCTAAAAAGTGCAGCTCTAAATTTTTCAAAATAACTCCTTGGAAACGCTTTGGTATGCTTCTAGATCTAGATATTCTTGAAATGTTTACTCTCATCAACATTTTGTTAAGACACCCAATGACACCCATACCATTTATATTTTTTCTTTATGTTTTGCAGAATTCAGTTTGTTCTCAGACACTACTGTATGAATTGTTTGGTTTCTTCCTAGAGTTCTTTACAAAACTTTGTCAATACATGTTATATGCTCTTATTTACATTCCACTAAATAAATCCTTTGGTCAGATACAGAATGAAAACTGCAATGCTTTTAAAAAGATAAAAGCAGATTAAAAAAAAAAAGATAAAAATATTAAAAAAGCTGGCAGGGCTTATTGAGAGGGCTTT